TGCCCTCTGCTGCTCTTGCCAGGCCCCTCCGCCTCTATGGCGGTCAGTACCAACTTGCAGGCTTGCGCAGTCATACCGTAACAGAGCCTTCTCTCTTCAGGTTGCCCAGCTCCAGGGTGGGCAGGCTGGGGTAGGGACTAGTTAGGAGCTGGGCCTGGGGGCCCATTCTCTTCCTGGGCGCGAGGTAGTCACCAGTGACCATGATTCACCATGAGAACTTGGGGTCTGGGGAGGTCTGCCCAGGCATAGTTTGCTGACCCTTGGGGTTCAGGTTTCAGGCTGGGCTCCTGGGGCAGAAGTTGGAGAGGACTCCCGGGTTTAAGAAACCTCTGAGTCCAAAGCATCGCCCTCGAGGACTTTTGGAGCTGAGCTGACATCTAGTGGCCAGATGAAGGCATGACTCCACTTTCAGGGGCTCTGGGGCTCGGCCATCCATCCCTCACCCACCTTGTGGGGGCCAGTGTCACTGTGTGGCCTGGAGGGCCGAGGGTGGCCGGGTGGGTGGGTAGTGGTTTCCCATAATCTCCATCATTCCCCCAAATCATCCCACCAAACCAAGATTGGTAAGAACAGTGGCGGCCTTTTTCAATTTTGAGAAAGAACAGAAGCATCTTGGGGGAAAAATGCAATTTTTATTGATCCACAGACATTACAGATTTGGGATTTGTCCAGTACAAAAGGCTGCTCCTTCCGGGCTGCACACCCTCCTTAGGGTTCCACCCCGACCCCAACAGTTATTGGATGCTCCATAATGGAGAACTCAGAGAATTTCTTGGGCTATAAACATTTAAGAGCTCAAAGCCCCTGGGGCTGGGGATGTGGCTCAAGCGGTACCCCGTTCGCCTGGCATGCGCCGGGCGCTGGGTTCGATCCTCAGCACCACATAAAAATAAAGATGTTGTGTCCACCAAAAACTAAAAAATAAATATTAAAAAATTCTCTTTCTCTCTTAAAAAAAAAAAAAAAAAAACAGCCCTGACTTTGGAAGCTTGCCTTTCTTCTGGGGACATGTCCACAGAGCACCCTGAAGTGTCTTGTAGATATTTCAGCCTGGAAGCTCCTGGTTGCTTTATTTTTTCATCAACCTAATTTGGCCTCTAAACCCCTATTTCACCACAGTTGGTGGAAACTCAACTTCAGGACCATGGGGGTTGAGCCTCACCTGTCAGGAAAGCCCTGGTTATCTGTCCACACTGATCATGGTGTACAGGGGACAGTTCCCACCCTTGGTGGTCCACAATGGGGACTACACTAAGGTTAATCAAAACCCTCCAGGGTGCCCATTCCACCCACCTGAGCTGAGGATGATCCTGTTTTCTTGCTAAGCTCTTCCTGTTTCCCAGGGAATTTTAAAACACAATGCAGAACCCCGGGCTCCTGGGATGGACTGGGAAGCCTGTCTTCAGCGGTTCCATTTTTGGGGTGAGACCACTGAGGCTCCAAGGTTGCATGGCCAGGTTGTGCCGGCCTCGACTGGATGCCAGGTCTCTTGGTCTTCCACCCCAGGCTCCCTGCTTGGGACCTGCTGAGATTTGCTTCTAAAGGGCTCTCCCCCACCTCCTCGGCATCTGTTCCCTCTGCCACTGCCTCTCATTTCAGAAATCCTTCCCCTTAGCTGGGCGCTGTGGTGCATGTCTGTAATTCCAGTGACTCAGGAGGCTGAGGCAGGAGGATTGCAAGTTCAAGGCCACCCTGGGCAACTTATCGAGGGTGTCTTAAAAAAACAAATAAATAAAAAGGGCTGGGGATGTAGCTCAGTGGCTAAGTGCCCTGGGTTCAATCCCTAGTATCAAAAAAGAAAAAGGAAAAAAAAAATCCTTCCCCGTGACACTGGTTGGTTCATAAGGACCATGACCTGTTCCTGGCAGGCTCTTTTCCTTCTGCCTAGAAACTCTGTTCCAGTCCCAGTGTGTCTTTGTGGCTCTTCATGAGACCACCCAGAACATGTCCGCTGGTGGTCACTAAAACCAGAAGGTGCCCTACTGCAGGGCACGCTGCCAGCAGCCCAGAGACACACCCAGAACTGAGCCAGACTTTATTTGCTTGTGCATAGTCCTGGCTATGGCATTTGTCCCCTGAGCTTCTGGTCCCCTCACTGGTCTTCACTGCCGCCATCCGACTTGCCAAGATTTCTCACGAGCCGAACTTCTTTCCAGATCAGTGTTGTTACTCTGACTTCTGCCCTTTGAAAAAACTGGTATGAAAGTTAGGGAATGAGGATGACGGAGGGTCAGGACGAGAAGCTCATGGCTGATGGGCGAGAACATTAAGACTGCCTCAAATTCAGACAGGACCATCCAGAAAGGTCTCTCTTGGGTTGGCAGGACACTGATGGTGGGTTGTTCCGTGTTGGCAGGGGGCTGCCTCAGAGCACTGGTTTGCAAGATTGGCAAGGGTTGGGCAGATTTAAATTTCAGAATGCACCCAACCTGAGCCCAGCAAATGCTGTGCACCCCACCAAACCTACCTTAGAAGGACACATGTGTGCAGACACTGTATACACAAGGGTGTTTGTGACTGCTATTTGCAGTAGCAAAATATTGGAAATTGCTTAAGTGTGTATGAAAATGAGATTAGATCACGAGGCTGCTATGTCATGAAATACTATGTGGTGTTAATACCGTTCCAACATGGAAAGGCCACCAAGATGTAATGTTAAGGCAAAGCAAGTTCAGAGAAAATGAAAGTCTGCCTCTATTTATGATCAAAACCTGTGTGTCAGCATGTCTGTGTCTGTAAAATAAAATTTAATAAAAACACATATGTGCTGTGTGTCTACCTACCATGTGCCAAGTATTGTCCTAAATGCTTTGCAGGCATTAACTCATTTCCTCCTCAAAAACTCCTATGCTGTGTGTACTATTATTGACTCTGCAATACAGGTGAGGAAACCGAGGCGCAGGGAGAATGGGAATGTGTCCAAGGTTGCCGGGGAGTTATCTGGGACTGGACCCAGGTGCTCTGGCCCTAGAGCCCATTTTTTTAACCATTACTGGTCTCACACTCACCCTCACGCACATGTGCATACACATACTGGATTACAAGCACTTGAATTTGCTCTGAGAACCCTTTGGGGAGCAGAGTGAATTGGAAGAGGAGATTAAAGAGGGCCTTCATTTCCTCTTTGCTACGGTTCTGTGGATTTAAAATTTTTACAAAGAAGATTTTTTTTTTTCTTTTTTCTGGTGCTGGGGATTGAACACAGGGCTTTATGCATGCTACACAAGCACTCTACCAACTGAGCTATATCCCCAGCTCTGTTTTTTTAAAAATGCTTTTTATTTGTTAATGGACCGTTATTTATTTTATTTGTATATGGTGCTGAGAATTGAACCTAGTGCCTCAAGTGTGCTAGGCAAGTATACTACCACTGAGCCACAACCCCAGCCCACAAGGAGATATTAATTGTGACAATAAAAAAGATTCATGCAAGGATAACAATTACAACTCTGCTCCTCAGTAGAACTAGTAGAACAGTGCTGTGTGATTTTGAGGGGCAATTAGAAGTGGCCCCAAAAGCCCCCAACTGGAGACTTGGGGACTTAGGTCCCAGTTCTGCCTCTCGATGGCAGTGTGACCTCATCTGCTCACCTGAGGTGTTTGCTCGACTTGGGACCTTCTGGAACCTGAGCTGTACCTGGGTACTTCCTGCCAGTTTCTCAAGGGAAGGCAGGAAGAGGAGGTCAGGACAGAGGCCAGCGAGCACTGGTTTGCAAGATTGGAAGGGCTGGGGATGTGGCTCAAGCGGTAGCGCGCTCGCCTGGCATGCGGGCGGCCCGGGTTCGATCCTTAGCACCACATACAAACAAAGATGTTGTGTCCGCTGAAAACTAAAAAAAGTAAATATTAAAAAAATTCTCTTTCTCTAAAAAAAAAAAAAAGATTGGAAGGGTTGGGCAGATTTAAATTTCAGAATGCACCCAACCTTGAGCCCATGCTATGCACCCCACCAAACCTACCTTAGAAGAACACATGTGCAAACCTGAGCCATCTCTGAGGCTCCGTTTTTGCTGGATGACAGGTCACTGTGTTATCACCCAGTTTTAAGATGAGGGAGCCTGAGAACCCTGTGCATAGCCGCCTCACCCTTTGTAGCCAGTCAGCCTGCCCTTCCCATCTGTGTCGGGGTTTCTCCACATGGAAGATGCCGAGCCAGGACCAGGGCAGAGGTGCTGGGAGGAGCCTGCGGTGCAGGACCAGATGGGGGCCCCTGCTGGGGCTCCTGGAGGTCACAGGCAAGGATCCCTAGGGAGCCCATCTGCAGACCCCTGCCTGGTGGGGCAGTGTCCACCTGCACCTCTGCGAGATGGTCAAGAGTGGTGGGTGAACCAACAGGTTCTAGAACCACAGGGACCTGAGGTCAAGGGCAGTAGCTTTCCCTTTCCAGCTGTGAGAATGGAACTTCCCTCTCTAACTGCAGTTTCATCATTTGCCAAAGGAGATAATAGTAGCTTGGTGGCAGTAGGGTGCTGTGGGAATTTGGGTCAGCACCTGTGTGGTGAGGGCAGAGTGCATGGCATGTGGTCAGGGTTCGGCAAGGGTTGATTACTGCTCTTACTTTGTCACAGTCCTTTCTGTCCAAGGAACTTGGCCTGAGTCACAACCTGCCTGGCCCCCTACGCTGGGGCGGAGTTGGATGACCTGTGGATCCCCAATGCATCAGCTGGCTCATGCTTTGGCGTGAGGCACTTGCTGTCCCTCTGTCCTCCTGCCCTTGTCTATCTTGCCTAAACTCAGCTGAAACACCACCACCTCCCACCAGACTGATGCCTCCCCTGTGGGCCACCGTGGTGCCCTGCACACCTGCCCTTTCTCTTACTTCTGTGGGGCCTAAGCAGGTGACCCTCATCTCGTCCCCTCTGTGAGCCCCCCCCCCCCCCCCCCGTGAGTCTGGGCTGAAGCTCCTTTGCCTGGTCCCAGCATCTGGCCCAACATCCAGCAGCACATGACGGAGGGTCCAGCCGTGGGCAGAAACTGAAGAGGGGAAGAAGGTGAGCTCGGGCTGGGAATGCGGGGGAAGGGCAGCCAGTTGCTGCAGGGGGTGGGCTCTAGAACTAGGCAGACGATGAGTGCCCACCCAGCCAGGGCCCCAAGGAGAGCCCTGGGAGGGCCACCTGGCCTCACCTGAAGTTCACCATGCCTGCTTCCTCTTCCAGTCTCCTGATCAGCTCCCTGACTTGGTACCGGTTTAGGGGGACCTTGTTTTGCTGAGAAGGTCAATGGAACATTTATCCTTCGCACCCCATCTCCAGCACCCTCATGCCTCACCCCTCTTGGGACAACAGTTAGCAAATGAGAGCAAACAGGAAACTAGGTCCAACATGAGAAAGGGCTAGAAGACTCCCTTCCCCAAACCACAGGTCAGGGCTCAGACTCCAGAGGCCCCCCTTTTGGGGGAGAAGTAAGGGAAAAGGAGATCAGGATCTGGGTGCAGTAGGTGGCCCTGGAGTGGACAAGGACAGTCCTTTTCAGCAGGGAAGGGCCACTCTTGCTCCCAGCTGCTGAGTCCTGGCCAGCCCTCTTCACCCGGCACCTGGACACTGGGTCTTACCCATCCCTGCCTGGGCCTCCCGCAGCCCCCTGCCTTGGGCCCAGGCCTCCCAGGATGTGCTGATGATGGGTTCTTCATGTTTGCATTTCAGGGGGGTCTTCAACACCTTCATTACATTGGAGGGCGGGGGGAATTGGGATTTCAGGCAAGATGGCGGGGCTGAGATGGAAACACTGGTCTGGGATGTGGTGGCTTCTCTCACTGCTCCTAGCAGCCACATGCATTGGGGACATGTTGGATCAGTGGCATCAGGCCACATGGCAGAGAATGACTTGGGCAGGAGGATGAGGGAGGCCTTGGGTTTTCTCTGGGTCTAGATAAGTGAGCGAGGGTTCAGCGCCATGAAGAACCTCAACGCACCTGCACCATCACCTTCCGGAACTCGCCCACGGGCATCTTTACTGTCCCAGCAGGGTTCAGTCTCTGGAAGAAGTCCACGACTGGGATTTTGTTCTGGTCTGCGTAGCTCTGAGTGAAGCAGGAGATCCCAGGAGTGAATAATGGGTCTTGTCACGGCTATCACTACTCTCCCTCCACTCCTCCAAAGAGGAGGCCCAAGCTTCCAGACCCAGGAGGCTGGAGAGGGCAGAGGGCAACTCAGCAGCCTGAGCCCCCCAGACTTTAGAGGTGGTTGAAGAGGAAGGGCCTTGCACAGGTGGAGGCGGGGCAGGGGGGCAGGACTGCAGGCCAGTTCTTGTGTTGGCCCAGTTTCTTGCAGGTCTCCTCCCCCACCCCAGCCCCACTGAGCAGAAACTCCATCCATTTCCTCCATCCTTAAGAGAGGGACGTCAATACTGTCAAGAGGCCACAGCGCCAAAGGAGTAGGGACGGTGATCATATCCACGTTATTTGACTTTGGGGAGGTGGGAGCAAGACTCCAGGAATTTCTAGGATTCTCAGTTTTGCACAAATGCACATAAGGAGAAGTACTTGGTTAGAAAACTTGAAAAATATTTTTTCATTGTTTCCCTTTTCAAAAATATTAATTGCATTGTAAGGCAACTTTTTTTTATTATTATTATTTAGTTGCAGTTGGACATAATATCTTTATTTATTTATTAATTTATTTTTATGTGGTGCTGAGGATCAAACCCAGGGCCTTGCACGTGCTAGGTGAGTGCTCTGCCACTGAGCTACAGCCCCAGCCCCTGTAAGGCATCTTTAAATGTGCAAAAAGAGACCCTGAGTTCCATGCCCAGCACCAAAGACACAGACCCACACCTCACACTCTACACACTCAGACCACATTCCCAACCATTCACCAGGTCTGGGAGATGTTTCCATAATGACCCTCTTACACCCGTCCTTCATTTCCATCGTCATCCTCAGGCAAGTTATCATTCCACATCCAGGAGCCTACAGTGTTATTGGGTTTTCCCAACTCCCACTTTATCCCCTTCAGTTCATGTCACTTCCCAAAGCCACAGAAATAATCCCTCTGCCCTGCTGGGTTCACGTCACATCTACAGCTCAACAGCTCTTGCTGGTGCCCTGCTTCCCATGGAATCAAACCCCAACTCGACGCCTGAAATCTGAGCACACGTCAAGGAGTCCAGTCTCCCATGCCAGCTGGGAGGCTCCTCCGTGAGCCACGTGGTTCCTCTGCCGGATTCACGCGGCTCTGTTTGCAGCCCCCAGCGTGCGGTGCACAGCGCCCCCTATGTGCAGTCCCACCTCAGCACCTTGGCAGGAATCCTTTTCTGACCACTCCTCCCCGCCCTCTTCCTCACCAGTCTCTGCCATCTGCAAGGCCCCTCCCCACCCCACTTCTTGCAGGAAATCCCCCTTTCTTTTTACCCAATCTTGTGCTCATCTCTGCCTTGGATTCTGATTTTAATAGTGTCTTCATCACTTCTTTACTGTCTACCATATGACATTTTCTATTGGTCATTACTGAATCCATTCCACCTTTCCAACCAGATTTTTGGCTTCCCAAAGGGAAGGCCTGTTTTACCTGCATGACTTGTTGAGCCCTACCCCAAGATGGCTTTTCTTTTTCTTTTTTTGGTACTGGGGATTGAACTCGGGCACTCGACCACTGAGCCACATCCCCAGCCCAACTTTGTATTTTATTTACAGACAGGGTCTCCCTGAGCTGTTTAGTGTCTCACCATTGCTGAGGCTGGCTTTGAACTTGCAATCCTCCTGCCTCAGCCTCCTGAGCCAGTAGGATTACAGGTGTCCGCTCCCATGCCCAGCTTCAAGATGCTTTTTCTATATTCTTTCCCCAACCCCCATGTCCTGGAGACCCAGTGGCATCTGAGACTGACTCTGGCTCCCGGTCTGCAGCTCCCAGGCATGGGTCGCTCCCCATTTCTATCCTCTTTTGAAGTTGGGGGTGGGGCCTCACCTTGCCTCAGACAACTCCCTGCCAGTTTACCCGAGCATCCTGCTCCCCTTGCAAAACAGGTTCCCCTGTGGTTCCATCTGGAGTCATCTATTCAGGAATGTACTGATACCCTTTTTTCACATGACAATAATTTTCATGCAAGAGTTTTTTTTTTGTACTGGGGAGTGAGTCCAGGGTCACCTAGCCACTAGGCCACATCCCCAGCCCTTTTTGTATTTTATTTTAAAAAAAAAGGTCTCACTGAGTTGCTCAGGCTTGCTAAGTTGCTGAAGCTAGCTTTGAACTCATAATCCTCCTGCCTCAGTCTGCCGAGTACTAGGATTACAAATGTGTGCCACTGTGCCTAGCTATGCAATTTTAAAAAATTATTTATCCCTGGAAACTGAGGCACAGAGCAGACCAACCCGGGGCAGGTGATAGCCCTGGGGTAGACACCTGCAGGCAGCAGTGGGCTCCTGAGCTCCCCCACTGCCGGGAAACACCAGACCTGGGTCTGGCCCTCGCTCTACGAGGTAAGCAGTTCATACCCCCTTTCGGCTTGAGTGTTCTCCCTTTTAAACATCTTCAGGTCATATCCACTTCCTGTGATTTCCTAGAAACCATCTAAGGAAAGAAAGGCAGATGCAAGCCACTACAAATAAGGCTTCAGCTGTCCCTTTTTAGCGGAAGCCAGCCAACAGCCATCCCAACCACAGGGCGTCTTGGCATCCTGTGGAAAGAGCCTGCATTTGGGGGCGTTGTCATGTGGCAGGCCTTGCCGTAAGCGCCTCGTGCGTATTAACTAGGTTAATCTTCACAGCGACCCTCGGGGGTGGGTGCCCACTGTACAAGTCACAGAGAGCCTTGGTGACTTGCTTTACATGGAGGGCTTGGGTGGTGGAATCCATCCTGTGCCACCCCCACTTCCTGCCCCCAGCCCGATCTCAGACCTTCCCTCCTCTGGGAGGTAGGATGCACTCAGGGACCCAGCATCCGAGGGGACAGTCCAGTCTGTAGTCTAAGGGGCTGACATTCCTTGTTAAAAAGGACTGTACTGCCAGGCGTGGTGGTGCACGCCTGTAATCCCAGTTGACTTGGGAGGCTGAGGCAGGAGGATCACGAGTTCAAAGCCAGCCTCAGCAACTTAGTGAGGCGCTAAGCAACTCAGTGAGACCCTGTCACCAATAAAATATAAAAAGAACTAGGGATGTGGATCAGTGGTTAAGAACCCCTGGGTTCAATCTCTGGGACCAAAAAAATAAAATAAAATAGTACAGACGCTTTGGGGAGGAGAGACGCTGCGCAGCTGATGGGGGTCAAAGGCTGCCTCTCTCCAGGCCTCCCTGGAGGCTCCGAGAGGAAGGCAGGAGCTCACCTGGATCAGTTTCATGGGGTTTGCCATCAGGAAGGTGCTCTTCTTGGCAGAGAAACCCTGGACTGACTTGTGGATCACGTCCAGCTGGGGGTGGACGGCACAGACCCCATCCAACATCCTCACGAATTGCTCGGTCACCAGCACATTCTGCAGGGGGGGAAAGGGACCGGTGGCGAGGGTGCTCTGGCCGCGCTCTCCCCCGCCCACAGCAGGCCCTCCCCTTCCACCCAAGCCGGAGTCAGGAGCTCGGGTCTTTCCCAATTTGTTCTGCGGTGCTGCTCCAGGACGGGGATGGTTCTGGAGTTTTAGAGCTTGTGGTCTGACTCGTAAGTCTCCTGGGTGATCACGATGTTCAGCCAGCTGTCTGCATGGAGTTCTGGTGGTGTGTCACATGCTGCCAGCTCAGCTCTGCTCTCAGATGGCAAGTGGACGGACGTGACCACGTTTGATGGACAAGAGACAACTCTGGAGTTGAGTAATTAGTCCTCACACAAATACCCTAGATATACACATCCACGTGAGCGTTGTTCTTCAGACCTGGCGCCCCGGAGAGCATCCCTAGTCAAGCCGTCCTGTCAAGGCTCAAATGGAATTGGGAGCTCCCCCTCTTGGAAGTGCCCTTGGAGTTGGTGTATAGGACATGGGAGAAAATGCGTCACACTTGGCCTCTACAATTTGATCAACCTGTGTGTTTCCGCGGCTGTGGTCAGTATCTTTTACCTTTTCAAATTAAACTTCTGCTTAAGGTCTGAGGACTTTGTAGGTATATTCTGGACAAAGTCCTAGGAGCGTGTACAAGGCAGGACCTTCGATACCCTTTGGTTATGGTGGCTGTTCTGTGGTTGGGGTTCCTGTGTTGCTTCCCAGGGTAGTGACGTGGGACTCTTCAGAGGTGGAGTAAGTTTTTTCCTTTTTGATACCGGGGATTGCACTCAGGGGCACTCAACCCCTGAGCCACATCCCCAGCCCTATTTTGTATTTGATTTAGAGACAGGGTCTCACTGAGTTGCTTAGCGCCTCGCTTTTTGCTGAGGCTGGCTTTGAACTCATGATCCTCCTGCCTCAGCCTCCCGAGCTGCTGGGATTACAGGCGTGGGCCACCGCACTCGGCTCCGTAAGTATTTGAGAGACTCCAGTTAATTCCCATGAGAAGGAGTTGTTATAAAAGAGCAACCCTGGCCCCTCCTTAGTCTCTGGCTTCTTGTCTCTCATGTGATCTCTCCCTCTCTCTCACATGAACTCTCAGCATGATGCTGTACACCATGAGGTAATGCAGCTGGGGGGCTCTTACAAGAACAAGTCCCACACTGTTGGGAATGTTCAGCATCCAACTGTGAGCTAAATAAACCTGTTTTCCAAATGCTCACCATCTCTGGCAGTCAGAGAAATGCAAATCAAAACCACCCTAAGATACCATCTCACTCCAGTAAGATTGGCAGCCATTATGAAGTCAAACAACAAGTGCTGGCGAGGATGTGGGGAAAAGGGTATACTTGTACATTGCTGGTGGGACTGCAAATTGGTGCAGCCAATTTGGAAAGCAGTATGGAGATTTCTTGGAAAGCTGGGAATGGAACCACCATTTGACCCAGCTATTCCCCTTCTCTGTCTATTCCCTAAAGACCTAAAAAGAGCATGCTACAAGGACACTGCTACATCGATGTTCATAGCAGCACAATTCACAATAGCAAGACTGTGGAACCAACCTAGATGCCCTTCGGTAGACGAATGGATTAAAAAAATGTGGCATTTATACACAATGGAGTATTACTCTGCATTAAAAAATGACAAAATCATAGAATTTGCAGGGAAATGGATGGCATTAGAGCAGATTATGCTAAGTGAAGCTAGCCAATCCCTAAAAAACAAATGCCAAATGTCTTCTTTGATATAAGGAGAGTAACTAAGAACAGAGTAGGGACGAAGAGCATGAGAAGAAGATTAACATTAAACAGGGATGAGAGGTGGGAGGGAAAGGGAGAGAGAAGGGAAATTGCATGGAAATGGAAGGAGACCCTCAGGGTTATACAAAAGTACATACAAGAGGAAGTGAGGGGAAGGGGAAAAATAATACAAGGGGGAGAAATGAATGACAGTAGAGGGGGTAGAGAGAGAAGAGGGGAGGGGAGGGGAGGGGAGGGGGGATAGTAGAGGATAGGAAAGGCAGCAGAATACAACAGACACTAGTATGGCAATATGTAAATCAATGGATGTGTAACTGATGTGATTCTGCAATCTGTATACGGGGTAAAAATGGGAGTTCATAACCCACTTGAATCAAAGTGTGAAATATGATATATCAAGAACTATGTAATGTTTTGAACAACCAACAATAAAAATTAAAAAAAAAATAAACCTGTTTTCCTTATAAAGTATCCAGCCTTGGGTACTTTCTTATAGCAACAGAAAACAGACCAACACAAGCTAATTCAGGTGATTTGTTCTGATAGGCTTGTTTAGTGGCAATGTGGTCATAGTTCACGGATTAATGTGCCATCAAGGGACCAAACAGCATCATTTCTAATGTCCTCTTAAATACACCGAAGCAGGGCCTGGGTCCATGTCTCCTAACCTGCTCTGTGGGTTAAGGCGGGTGGTGAATGGCAACAAAATCTGAGCCTGTGGCTGAGATCCAGGACCTGGGTGGGTGGGGGTGAAGGTCATGCTATGGTGTAGGGTCAGAGCCAAAGTACAAGGGTGAGAGAGAGGGGTCTCTGAGAGAAGACCCAGGAGCACAAGGAGGAACAGGGAGGAAGGGGTGGGGGGGAGGAATAAAATGAAAAGCAGCTGTTTTTATAATGTTCTATAAGCTGTGGCAAATAGAAACCTAAATTTTACTAATATTCAATTCTCAGGAGGTTGAGTTTAGATATTTAAAAACCTCATCACTCATATAATTCCAAGGCATTAAAATACTCTTTCAAACATCATTGTGAGGCATTAAAAATGTCAAAGAACTTCAATGTCGGTATCTTCACAGAATCCTGGAGCAGGAGGAGAGCCCTGTGTTGGCTCCGTGGTGTGTGGGTCTTGGGCAAGTGACCTAACTATCCTGTTTCCGTTTCCTTATTCACTACATGGAAAAACGAAGGAAAGTACTTGTTATGGGTTGAATTTTGCCCCTTCTCTCTGCAAAAAATTTCAAGTGCTCACCCGCAGTACCTGTGAAGGTGAGCTTATTTGGAAATAGGGTCTTTGCAGATGATCAAGGTAAAATGGTGTCATCAAGGGTGGGCTCTGACCCCAAATGACCATGTCCTTATAAAAAGGGGATTTGGGCTTTGGAGACAGACCTGTCTACAGGTGACACCAGGAGAACAGGAAGGCAGAGATCGGGGCGCTGTGTCTACAGGCCAAGGAACACAAGAGAGGGGGAACAGACCCCAGAAGTAAGGAGAGAGGTCTGGGGCAGATTCACCCTCCAGGCCTCAGAAGGACCCAAACTGCTGACGCCTTGACCCTGGACCTCTGGTGCCCCAGACGGTGAGACAATCCAGTTCTGTTCCTTAAGCCACCGTTTGTGATAAAGCCGTCCCAGGAAACGGCCACAGTACTCAGTGTACCTCCCCGAGCAGGATCAAAGGAGCTGGCAGGACGGGATGTTGCCATTACCCACTGCCCCCTGAAGTCACCTGGGTAGGCTTTCCCCCTCTATCAAGGGGGCAGGACATAGACTCCGAGTGCAAGAGGCCAAGTCATGACACGAATGTACAAGTTCCTGCGTGTTTTAACACCCAGGTCATAAAAGATCCTGTGATTCTGGAACGTTCTGAGATCTGGGCCATTTGCCATCAAAGCCGACAGTAAACAGACTCTGTTGTTGGGGTCTGCCGGCTTTTCCTTTGGGTGTTTGTCCACCTCTGCTCTCTGGTGTTGGTGCCCCAGTTCCTGGGATCTGCTAATCACTTCACACTGTGGTGCTGTTGGTTGAATGGCTACTCCTGGTCTACCGGAGGTGCCCAAGCTGTGCCAAAGGAGGGTCCTTTTCATGGAGTGAGAGGGCCCATGGGGGATGGAGCTGGTGGCACCGAGGGCACAAGGGGGCATGGGAACTGGCTCACGCCCTGGGACAAGTGATGACCATTCGATCACTTACAGAAATGTCAAGCTCTTCCATCTTGGATTTGGGGTTCCTTTTGATGGCTTGGACAAGCAAAACAGCCCCCTCCATGTTCATAGGGTTCAGGAGAAGCTGCAGAAAGAAGAGCAAGACAGGCTGAGGCTGAGACCAGAGCAGGAGAGGCCGGCTCCAAGCTGACTTGCACTTCCTCCCGTTGCACTACGTCCTTTATCTTCCCAGACTTCTCTGTCCATCTGTCCACCTACCTGTCCACCTCACTGCCTATCCATCCACCCATCCATCCATCCATCCAACCAATCATCCACCCATCCAACCATCCATCCATTATCCATCCATCCATCCATCCATTCATTCAACTGTCCATCCATTCATCCATCCATCAAATCATCCATCCACCCATCCATCCATCCATCCACCCATCCATCCAACCATCCATCCATCCATCCATCCATCCATCCATCCATCCAACCAATCATCCACCCATCCAACCATCCATCCATTATCCATCCATCCATCCAGCCAGCCAGCCAGCCAGCCATCCATTCAACCATCCATCTGTCTATCCATCCATCCAACCAACCATCCATCCATCCAACCAACCATCCATCCATCCATCCATCCATCTAACAAGTATTTTCTGGAGGCCGACTATGTGCCAGCCACTGGGCTAAGCCCTGAGGGATGCACAGCAGACATGACAAGGTTTCTGCCCTCAGGTATCTCAGTTCTACTTGGGGGAGACACAGGCACACGAGCAAATGGCACCAGATTTGTGATAAAAGCAGTGACTTAACAAATCAGGCAAAACATTCAAAAAGAGTGCCTGGTACGTGGTAAGTAGTCTGTGAATGGTAGTTTTGATCAATGGGGGCTTTCACTGAGTGGTTTCATGAAGAGGAGTTAAGTGTTTTATTGAGCATTTAGTATGTCTCAGGTGTTTCCCAGAATCTGATGGATTCTGGTGAGAACATGCTGACTTGAGCCCTGCCCTCAAGGTGCTTCGCAGCCAGCCTTTGTGGGTCTCCCTTTCTTAGTTACCCAAGATTAGGAATGGGGTGTGGCGAGGGCTGGAGGTGGGAACCACGAATGCTTCCTGTCACAAAGTCGGTATGACCAAGCTAAGAGGTTCATTTTCTACTTTTCTTGTTTCGCTTTTAAAAATTAGAAAAAAGTACTTAAATGTATTTATTACATCTGGTCATTGTGGATAAATCAGAAAAGAATTAGGAAAAAATGTTTCAAATCACCCGCACTCCACCAACCAGAGGCAACCCCTGGTGCCATTTTTTCTGAGGCAACGTCTTATTCTTTTGAAATTCAGGTTCTCAGAACTCTCTCAGCTTCCTTGGGCTGACTCTCTCCCAGCCTGGGTCTGCCTCTCTGAGGGACGCCTAGTAAGTACCACTCCACCCAACCAGTCCCAGCTCTCCTGGTCCCTCAATGGCCAGGCTGGTCCCCTCAGCCATCACGCTCCCCTTTTTCCAGTTAGAACCCAGCCTCCTCCTGTCCCTTTAATAGCTCTGGGTGGCTGTCCTCTGGGATCCCAGGCTCATCCTCGCTTTCCTCATGCCTGATCCTCTGGCACTAGGACACCATGTCTGTGGTCCCCACAACACCCCTATATCTTGAGGGAGGTGGGGTTGCCACGAAAGCCAGGTAGAGCTGGCTGCCCTCTGCCTCTGGCTGGTTGTGTGGCCTGCATCGAGGAAGCTGAGGGAGCCTGCTTCATCAGGCTGGGCCAGGGGATGATAGGCGAATCACCTGGCCTGCTATGGCTCGTGGGAGGAGCCCCAGAGAGGGGAACCAGCAGCAGAAGTCCTCTTTCGTCTGCTTTCCAACTGCCCAGAGGATTCAGTGTTATGAATCAGTGTCTACAAGTCAGTCCATTTAAAACGAAAGAAGAATTCATTCGTCCATTCCCTCAAAACCCACTCCTTGGGCACTTACCCTATGGCCGGCACTAGGCTAGGAATGAGGTGTGTAATAATGGGACCCAACCAAATAGTCTTTGTTCTCAGGATGTGTCGTGGTTTGCATGTGAGGTGCCCCCAGAAAGCTCATAGGCTCAGAGGAGAGATGATGGGGTAGTGAGAGGCTGAACCCAATCAGTGGATTAATCCCCTAGGAGGGATTAACTGAGTGTAACTGAAGGCAGGTGGGCTGTAAGGGAGGGGCTGGGTCACTGGGACTGGGCCTTTGGGGTACGTATTTTGTATCTGGTGAGTGGAGTCTCTCTCTGCCTCCTGATCACCCCATGAGCTGCTTCCCTCCGCCACACTCCTCCACCATGATGTCCGGCCTCACCTCCAGCCCTGAGGAATGGAGCCAGCCTTCTGTGGAAGAGGCCTCTGAAACTGTGGGCCCCTAAATCAACTTTTCCTCCTCTGCAGTTTGTCCTGCTTGGATCTTTTTATCACAGCAGTGAAAAAGCTGACTAAAACAGGAAGCTTCCACACTGGTGGGTGGCAGACGCTCAAACCGCTGCTCAAACGAGTGTGTCATTAGAAAGAGCAGCAAGTTCTGCCGGGAGGAGTCGGCAGGGTGCTGGGAGAAGACCACCTCCCACCGGAGGGTTTTCTAGAAGTTTGAGGGAGTGGAGCGGCCGGCCAAGACCCTGTGGTGGGAGGAAAGCAGAGGGGACCAGGAGGCACACAGGGGCTGGAGAGCTGGCCCTAGGGCAGGAAGCTACCAGGGGTCTCCAGCTGGAAGCCAGCAGCCTGAGGGGCTGGTAGAGGGGCCAAAAGTCAGGTTTGTGTTCCCAAAGCCCAGGCTGCCTGAGGGAGACCCGGCTGGAGGGTGCCCCAGGGACAGCGGAGGTGACAGGGGGACAGAGAGAGAAAGGACAAGGTGGGTGTTCCCTGTGATTCTCTCCAGCCCTGTCCCCCAGCCGCTCCCACCCCAGCACAGACAGACACACCCACCTACCCACAGACAGACAGACACATACACCACGGCCGGCCATTCCCAGCTTAGGGCAGACTACCTTCAGGACTTGGAGGCCCTCGTTGGATTCCAGCCCCCTGCTGAGCCTGGAGACCCCTTCGTTGCCGATGTCATTGCCACTGACATCCAGGTGGGTCAGGTGGTTGTTGAGTCTGAGGACCTCCCCCAGGGCCAGAGCCCCTTCGTTCCCAAAGCCATTCATGGAGACATCCAGTTTCATCAGGGTCACATTACCCTGGTGGCAGAGGGACAACACCAGCATCAAGTTGATGGGTGACTCACCCAGGCAACCCCTCCAACCTCTACCTGCTGCTGCGTGGACACCTAGCACTCGGGGGTCCCCGGATCTGCCCCATCCCTCCTGCTCCCTCCCAGCTCGGTCTCAGGGACCTCTGGGACTTGGACAGGACCCTAACTCTTAATTGCACCGGACTCTTGAAGGGCCTAAGGATGCCCCCCAGGCCTTAGCGGCTGGGATTTATTAAAAAGTAACCCATCCAGGAGTTGTGGGAGAGAGACCAGGGACTGGGAGAGCACTTGTGCAGCTAGTAAACCCTCATCAAGGAAGAGGTGCAGGATGGCAGGAGGGACGACCTGGCTGCCCCACCTGGGTCGCCGCACCACTCTCAGGGCACCTTACCCGGAGACCGTTGCACAAGGCCACTGCTCCCTGGGTGTGGAAGTGATTCCAGCTCAGATTCAGCACCTGGATCCCTACATTGATGTCTGGGAGGGAGAGGGAGTCAGCTGAGCATCCCCCGCATCCCAAAGAACCCGGCCTCAGGGTTCACATGGCATGCAAAGAGAAACACCCAGGCAATGATTTTTTTTTCAGTTATTCATTTAAACACACAATTGTCAGACTATCCTCAATGCTGAGAAAGATGAAGGAAAATAATCTTACCCTTCTATAGCAGGTGGCAAGTAAATGAGTATAGTCTGTTTGGCAAATATTACATGATCGTAGCTATTTTCCCACTAAGATGTGCATGCATACCTTATCACAGAACTCTGAGACTTGTTCTAAGAAGACAGTACGGAAAGTGGGAAGGGCCCTGTACCTGTAGGTAGATGTTTGCAATGGCATCAATGATAAAGGTGAAATTTGTTACTCAGGGGAAAGGGGTAAAGAATATCATAAATATCCACGTGGTGGAATATTATAAAGCCATTAAAAAGTGGATGGAAAGCTGGGTGTGGTGGTGCACACCTGTAGTCCCAGCAGCTCGGGAGGCTGAAGCTGGAGGATCGCAGGTTCGCTAAGTTGCCAGCCTAGCAACTTAGCAAGGCTGTAAGCAACCTAGTGAGACCCTGTCTTGAAATAAAAAAATAAACAGGGCTGGGGATGTGGCTCAGGGGCTAAGTGCCCTTAGGGTTCAATCCCCAGTATCCCCATCCCCCTGCCAAAAAAATCGAGGGAGGCAGTGTGGACAAACAACCGCGCCAGGCTGCACACAGGAGGCGGGGATGGGCTGGCGTGTTAGGTCACGAGGTGACTGTCTCGAGGAGTGCCATGGGAACAGCACTGGCTCTGGGGCTGCTCTTAGGAGAGCCTCAGAGGCACCAGCAGCTGGAGGTGGGAGGTGCCAGGATCTGAGTTTGCACAGAGATCACACTTAAAAAAAAACTAAAGATGCTTTTTTGGGGCTGGAGGTGTAGAGTACGGGTCTCAAATGCCCAAGGCCCTCAATTTGGTCCCCAGCACCAGGAAGAAAAAAAGAAGAAAATGCTTTTGCTCCTATACTCCACCAGGGTTGGCAAAACTTCCTGTTCAACCACGTTGTTACTTTTATTTGGGGAAAGTGGCTCTGCAGAGGGCACCATCAAAAGAGAGCATTGTCTTCGGGCATCAGGAGGGAGTCTCTCTCTTTTCTATTTCCTGTGTGTGTGTGTGTGTGTGTGTGTGTGTGCTGGGAATGGAACTCAGGGCCTTGTGCACGCTAGGCAAGTGCTTCTGCACGTCCCCAGCCCTTACTTTTTTCTGTCCTGTTAGTGACTCACACCTTATATTGTTGTGATAACGATAGTCTCCTGCCTTCATTCTCTTTCCTACGCCTCTTTCCCTCACTTTCTTCTCCTCTGAAGATTCTCCGAGCACATCTGCATCCCTTAAGCGGCCACATAATTGAACCCAGAGGCTCATCTCCTCTAACAGTTGTGCGACCTTGGCCAGGTCACGGATCTGTTCCTCATGAGCTTCCTCGTCTGTAAGATGGAGTATTAACCTGTGTAGGGATTTTGTGAGGATTGATGTGACATGCGAGTCTGATGCCCCTCACTTAGTAATCACTTACTGTTTGAGAGCTTTACTAATAATAATTTTTTGTTGTTGTTGTACTGAGGATTTAACCCAGGGGCACTTTATCACTAAGCCACATCCCCAGCCTTTTTTGTTTTTTTTACTTTGAGACAGAGTTTTGCTAAGTTGTTTAGAGCCTTGCTAAGTGGCGGAGGCTGGCTTTGAACTTGTGATCCTCCTGCTTCAGCCTCCCCAGCGGCTGGGATTACAGGTGTGCGCCACCGTGCCCACTGTTAGAATAACAGTTTAAAAATCTTCACCCACAGGACTATTATAACCACAGGAAGATAGAACACATTCTGGTTTCCTTTAGATTTACGACCTTAGCTTTCAATGGAGGCTGAGCAGTGGTCCCTTTTCCACCTCTCCTTCCTCCCAAGTGCTTTCTCTACAGTCAGCAGAGGGTCTTGCTTCTCACTGCCCTGGAGCAGCAGCACGAGGAGGTGGGGCTCGTCCTCCCACCCACCCTCCCCTCAGCGGCCAGCCTTGCTGCCTCCGCCACTTCAAGGCTCTCTAGGGCCAGGCCCCTTCCTCTTGCAAACTCCTCCTTTAATTGTCTTCCCTTCTTTCTGCAGCATCAGTTTCTTTTACTTCAGCATTTTTCAGCCTTAAAAATCATTCCTGGCCTCTTGTCTCCCTCGGGCTCCTGCCTCCTCAGTAGCTCCAGCCTCCCCAGCCTCTGGCCTCCTCTTTGCACCCATTTGTGTCTCCAGCTGGGTTTCCGTGCTCGCCCACTCCACCAAAACTCTCACCAAGTGGCCGACTATCTCAGTGCTGTTGAGACTTGGGGTCACTTTTCCGTCCTCATCATTAGATCTTAAGCAACACTTAAGTGGACCCTGCTGACCGCTTCCTCTCCAAACAGCTCTCTCCCTTGTTTTCTTGAGACCTCATTTTCCTGGTCACCCTCCTGTTTGATTGACACTTCTCAGATCCCTGCTCCTCTGCAGCAGCACCTGCGCATGTTGGAGTGACCCAGGCGTCAGTACCAGAGAACTGCTCAAGCCTCTACACTTCTTGCCTTGATCTGGTCTCCTGGATTAAATACGTCCCCTGCCTGTGACTCCCAGGTGTTTCATCCAGTGCTGATCTCGTCACCAACCTCTAAGGCCACACAGCAAACCACCTCCCGACTCTCCACTGAGAAGTGCTGAGTGGCCATCGACTACCAAAATGTAGCTGTTGCCCTTTACCTTACCCAGGTAAAGGGCACCACGTCCAGCCAGCAGAGAAGGCGAGATGAGCAGGCGTCCGTCCTTATTCCTAACTTTCCTTCAGCTCAGCAAGCCTTTCCGCCTCACCCCCAAACACATTCGGAACCCATCCACTCTTCTGTCTCGCTCACGCGCGATTGCGTTGTCTTCCCCAGGCTAGGGACAGCTTCCTAATTAATGGCTGTCCCAATGTTTGTGTTCTTCACTGTTCTTCATGCCAGACAGAAGTTTCCAAATTGCAAATCAAACTGTGACCTTCCCCGATGTGGAATTAAATCCAGATGTTGTCCACGCCATGGGCCACCTCCGAGACTTCCGCTCCTTCCAGTCTCCTCCCTGTCCCCTCTGTTCCTGCCACCCTGTCCTCGGATGGTCCCCAAACACGCAATGCCCTGACCTTGCTGCCTGGAATGCTGAACCCCAGAACTCAGCACGGTCATCTTTGTTATTCAGGTCTCAGCAAAGAGCTCCCCTCCCCGTGGGCCTGGCCCGCCCCCCGCCACTAATCCTCCCTGTCCACTGCTGCGTGTCTTCCTTGTTTCTACTCTTTGCCCAGGGATGGCCATTTAGGTAGAGGTACTGTCCCCTGTTTTATAGCAGTGCTGCAGTAACCTCCTTGGACATCTGTCTGTGCGTGTGGAGGAGGCGAGTTGCTGTTCAGTCCCATTGTCACTCTGAACAGTGGCTTTACTTAGCAGCCTGTCAGTGGTCCTGTTTCTCCCCACTGTCCTCAGCTTTGATATTCACTGACTTTAAACTCTTTTAACTTGGATAGATGAAAAGGGTCATCTTCCTGTTGCTGCACTTCCCTAATTACTAAAGGGGTCGGGCAGTGGACTTTCCTCTTGTGCTGCCCATATGCCTTGACCATTGTTCTACTGGGGGTATTTATTAACCTATAGGTCTTTGTTAATATAGGATTTTTTTTGGGGGGCTACTGGGGATTGAACTCAGGGGCACTCAACCACTGAGCCACATCCTCAGCCCTATTTTGTATTTTATTTAGAGACAGGGTCTCACTGAGTTGCTTGGCATCTTGCCATTGCTGACACTGGTTTTGAACTCGCGATTCTCCTGCTTCAGCCTCCTGAGCTGCTGGGATTACAGGCGTGCACCACTGTGCCTGTTTTTTTTTTTTTTTTTTTGTTTGTTTTGTTTTTCTTTTGAGATAGAGTCTTGCTCTGTTGCCCACACTGGCCTCCAACTCACAATCCTCCTACTTCAGCCTCCAGACTAGCTGAGACTATGGGCACACGCCACTATGCCAGGAGATATATAGGATCTTTTATCAATAGTCTGAACATTAATCTTCTATCTATATAAGTGCTGCAAATATTCACTCCCTGTCCCCTCTGTTGCTTATCTCTTAGAGTTGTCCATGGTGGCTCTTGTATTTCTTGTGGTACTGGGTATTGAACCTAGGGGTGCTCTACCACTTATCTACACCCCCAGCCCTTTTTATTTTTTTCTTTTGAGACTGGATCTTGCTAAGATGCTGAAGTTGGCCTAGAACTTGCGACCCTCCTGAGTAGCTGGGTTATGAGTGCATGTCATCCTGCCTGGCCCATGGTGTCTTTTTATCATACATGTTTAAAATGCATTGTTGTCAATATACGGATTGTTTTCATTACACTTTGTGTTTACTGTACCACGTGTAATAGTCCTTGGACTCCTTAAGCTCAGCAAGTTGTTCCTCTCCATGGTCTTCTAATCATTGGAAAGTTTTACTTCCCACATCTCAGTGTTTGCTTCATTTAAAATGTTTTTTTTTTTGGGGGGGGGCATGGTTTACATCACTTTTATAGTCCAAACATTCAAAATTAATTTAAAAATAAAGGGTGATTCAGCTCTGATAAATGAACTTTCTCTCAACCCCTCCCCTTGGCTGGTCACTTTCCCTCCATGGGGACGTACTCAGCATCTGTCCCAGTTGTTCCCCTCCTGTATCAGAGATTTGGTTGTGACTGAGATCCAGGTTCCTAATTAGGTAATTGATCTAGAGGAACAAATGGTGAGAAAGGAGGTTATTTTTGTCTTCTGGCTGAAAAATCTCTTACTTATCTCAGGGCAGTATGGTGTAGAGTTCCCAGGTACTAAAAACTAGGTGGGCTAGGGCTCTTAGACTGAAAGCTTCATTAACTGTTGATAGTCACTGTGACAAGGCAGTGCCACCCTGAAAGCCCCACTGCTTACTGGGTTTTTACCAGGGTTGGAAGAGACCAAACACTCATCCACTTCCAGACCATATAAGTAGCCTTGCTCCACCATGCCCAGCACAGCCCGAGTCACCCAGATCCCCTAGACCTGCCAGCATGGCTCACCTGCACCCCTTGCTCCTTACCGACAGGGCTTGGCAGAAGAGGTCTATGGCTTCCTCACTGAAGTTATTTCCTAAAGTGAGGGGGTTACATTAACAATGCACTCTGCACTGTGGCCCTCTTGCCCACCTACATCACAGCCCTGCCAGTCCTCTGCACTCCAGAACAATCAGACGTGGGAAAGATGACAAGCACTTAACGCAAATGTGTAGACACAAGAAAACGGGAGAGAATGCTCATCTAACTTAATGTGTCCTTCTCTCTGTGACAACTGACATTTCAATCTATTTTTTTTAAGAGAGACAGAGAGAGAGAGAGAGAACTTTTAATATTTATTTTTTAGTTTTCGGGGGACACAACATCTTTGTTTGTATGTGGTACTGAGGATCGAACCCGAGCCGCACGCATGCCAGGCGAGCGCGCCTACGGCTTGAGCCACATCCCCAGCCCAGACAACTGACTTTTCAAAGAAGAGGAAATAAAAATGGAAATAAACATCTTAAAAGATGTTCTTTTCAAATAATAATAATGTGGGAATGTAATAAAGATAATAATATATTTCACCATAGCCAAACTACGGAACCAGCCTAGGTGTCCATCAACAGATGAATGGATAAAGAAAATGTGGTATATATACACAATGGAGTTTTATTCAGCCATAAATAAAAATGAAATAATGGCATTTGCAGGAAAATGAATGGAACTGGAGACCATCATAATTAAGTGAAATAAGTCAAACTCAGATGGTTCAGGGTCATATGTTTATTCTTATATGCAGAAGTAGAAAGGAAAAAGAAAAACAAAGGTTGGGGTAGATCTCCTAAAAATGAAAGGGAGATCACTAGAAGAAAGGAACTAAAGGGTGAGAGACAGGGAGGGAGGGGAGAGTGCTGGGGAGTGAGCTTAGCCAAATTACCTTGTTATACTGTTTGCATGTATGAATAGGTAACAACAAATCCCATCGGTATGTACAACTATAATGCACCAGTAAAAAATGTGGAAAAAATAAAGATAATAGTAGTAACTAACACTTATTGAATATTTATATGCTAAATACTATTCTAGGTGTTCTAGATTCGAAGTCATTTAATCCTCCCAATCACCATCTCAAGTTATATCATTGTCCTTAGTCTATTCATAAGAAAAATGAGTTACGAAAGGGTTAACTAACCTGCCCAGTGTCAAAGCTGGAATTTGGATCCAAGAACAATGACTTCAACACCCACACATTTAACCATTTGATTCACAAACATCTTGCTATTAACTCTTTGGGGACAGCATAGAGAAACTGTCCATTGGTAGAATTTTAATCTGGTACAGGCTCCTTACGGGAAATTTGGAAATTAATTTTTAACTTCACAAAAGTGGATATATCTTTATATTTGGTAATTATACTGCTGGGTGTCCATCTAGAATACTAGGACATGTGCCCAGAAGATGTATGAACAGGAAAGTCCTTTAAATCATTAGTTGAATGATTGAAAAACTAGAAATGATATGAGTCCCATCCCCCAACAGAGGGATGATAAATGATGCTGTGGCCATGACAAGGAAGACTGCCCAGCGAAGGGGAAGTAGCTATTTGTTCTGTTATGGAAAGAAATCCAAGATATATTTAGAGGGAAACAAGAAATTCAAGAATAATACCTCACTCACTTAGAGTAACATTTACATTAAAAGAGAAACTATTTTTTCCCCTGGATACTTTTAAGGTCTCTGTATCTTAAGTGCTTTATCAGTGATACATTCAAGTGTGAATTTCTTTTTGTTTACCTTTTTTAGGACTTACTCGGATCCCCGAATGCTTCAAATTCAAGAAGTACAGCAACTATTATTTGCTCACTTGTTTTTTTCCCTCCTTCAGGAACTCCTAGTAGCTATATTGAGTCTATTCATTATCCTACACTCTTTTATCTTTTATCTTCTCTCCATTTTTCTCTTTCTACGCTGTAAATATATTTAGATAAATATTTTTTGGCTATTTTTATTGACCTGTGTCTACCGCACTTTTTGGATATGTGTATTGAATCTGTAATTTCAAGGAGGACATATTTTTCACTTGTTGATATTCTTGTGGGGAGGAGAGTTCTTTTAAAAAGAATGATCTCTTCTGTTTTTATCTATGCATTTATTTTTATTTTCATCTTATTTTTTTTGTACAGGGGGTTGAACCCAGGAGTGACTGAATTCTACCACTGAGCTACATCCCTAACTCTTTTTATTTTTATTTTGAAACAGGGTCTCACTAAGTTGCTTAGGGCCTCACTAAGTTGCCGGGCTGGACCTTCGACTTGCAATCCTCCGGCCTGAGCCTCCTGAGTCACTGGGATTAAGGCATGTGCCATAGTGCTGGACTTTCATGGATGGACACAATACCTTTATTTATTTATTTATTTATTTATTTTTTATTATTTTTTTTAATGTGGTGCCGAGGATCCAACCCAGTGCCTCACAAGTGCAAGGCAGGCGCTCTACCGCTGAGCTATAGCCCTAGACCAGGATCATGTTTTAATGTGCATTTCTTGGCTTAGGGGTTCCAGGCAGTCAGCGTACATCTGTAAACCTGAACGAGGTAGAGGTCTGGGGGAACTGGAGTTCTCACCTGACTTTCTCCCCCATGGGAGATGTTACTAAGCTAATGTAAAAACAGGAGGGCATCGGGTGGTAACAAATGCAGTTAAACCAATCGGGGACACAGGACAGAGAGTGGTGGTGGAGGGCTGCTGTTTGGATAGGGTGGTTAGGAGAGCCTCCTCTCCAAGGGGGTGACATTTGAGCTGAGACCTGAGAGGAAGCCTCATAAACCAAGCAGACCTCTGCCGGCGGGGACGTCCAAGGGGAGGGCAGAATATGGCAAAGCAGGTCGGTGGGAAGCAGCTTGTTGAGGACGGCAGGGAGCCACGTGGCTATGCAGGGGGAGGGAAGCCATGGGGAGGGGCAGGGTGCCCGGCTTGGCAGGGCAGACACAGCATTCTGGTCAGGTCAACCAGGTGCGGGTTCTCTCTGCCCTTCCCCTCCTGCCCCTTTGATTCCCGATGCCCTCCCTGTCCCCTTGCCCAGCTCACCTGACAGCCCAAGGTTCCAGAGCGAAGATGTGTTCCTCTGGAGGAACTCGGAGATGACTTTGGCCCCCTCCAAACCAATTTCATTTTTCGAAACATTCTAAAAGGCAAGAATACCCTTGTGTACGCTAAATCCCACCAAAGGGGCCTCATTAACAAGGGCATCCAGGTAGGGTTCAAGGTGGGGAGGAGGGGCTGGCTGATGGAGTGGCCAGGGCCAGAGGGGGGAGGCTTTCCTGACGCAGGCAGGAGGTCTGTTTCTCTGAAGTTGGCTTCATTAAGTCCCCGCTCCCCCCAATTTAGCCCACGTACTTCTGATGAGCACATTATTTATTATTATTATTATTATTATGATCATCATCATCATTATTTTGTTTGTTTGGAAATCCAAGACAGCTTCATTTGATGAGTTGGGCATGAAACAACTAAAAAAAATGAGTTAATAAAGATTCTACTCATTGATTCACAAAATATGATTCGCTACCCTAGAAAGAGCCGGGGGTTTATGAGGACAGAGTCCTCTCAGGCAGTGGGAGAGACTCCATAGAAACCAGCCATGACTGTCTTGTTTGATTTCCTCCCCTTCTTTAAAAAAATTTGTTTTGGAACTGGGGATTAAACCCAGGGGTGCTCTACTGCTGAGCTACATCCTCAGCACTTTTTACTTTTTCTTTTTGAGACTGGGTATCATTAAATTGCTCAGACTGGCTTTGAACTTAAGATCCTCCTGCCTTCGTCTCCTGAGTTGCTGGGATTATGGATGTGAGTGAGCCACCATGCCCGGCTCTTTTCAAAATTTTTATGGTATTAAAATATAACATAAGATTTACCATTGCAACCTTTTTTTAGGTATAAGGTTCAGAGGTATTAAATATATTTCTATTGTTGTATAACCATCACCACCACCTATCTTCAGGCACATTGGGTTTTATGATATTATTTCATGTCTTTATCTCCTTTAAGAAAGTTCACCTTAAGGTAATGGTGCAAGAAGTAAACTTATCTACTTATAGGCTTATAAGGTACACAGAGAAATGGCTCCTTAGAAACTGTGATACACAATGGAATACTAATCAGCCTTAAAGAAGAATGAAAATATGGCATTTGCTGGTCAGTGGATGGAATTGGAGACTATTATGCTAAACCAAATAAGCCAACCCCCCCCCAAAAAAAAAAAAAAAAAAACCCAAAGGCCAAACATTTTCTCTGATATGGTTCCTATGACATGCAGATGCTAATTCACAATCGATGGGGGAGAACAGAGGTTTTATAGATTGGGGGGTGTGAAAGGAAGGGAGGGGGCACAAGGGTTGGAATGATGGTGGAATGAATCAGACGTTATTACCCTATGTGTGCATAGGATTACACAACCTGTATAACTCTACAACATGTACAGCCAGAAGAATGAGAAGTTATACTCCATTTATGTCCGATGTGTCAAAATGCATTGTATCATGTGTAACTAATTAGAACAAATTTAAAAAAGACTCAAAATAAAGAAAGACTGGGGTTATGGCTCAGTGGCAGAACGCTTGCCTCACACATGCGAGGCACTGGGTTTGATCTTCAGCACCACATGAAAATAAAGAAAGAAAATAAAGATACTGTGTCCATGTATAACTTTAAAAAAAATGAAAAAAGAAAGACATGGCTTCTTAGGGTTTCTTACGGCCACAGGGAATCCAGTCATCACCAGCCTCTGATGGGTGGTCCTCATCTGAGAAGTCCCATCTAGAGGGGAAGAGCCTGATGACGGGTTTCAGACAGTCCAGGGCTGCCCTGAGAGTGACAGGGGATTCTGCCTGGGCTCCCTGGGCTCTGGGCCCCCAGTGTGGTGGGAGGAGCCAGCAGAGCAGGGCACCTACCAGCTCCTGGAGGTAGTAGTTCTCCTGCAGCATCTGCACCAGGCAGGTCACGCCCGTGTCCATGATGCAGTTGTCTTCCAGCTCCAGTTTGGTGATGGTTGTGTTAGACTTCAACCACCCAAGGGGAGGGGGGGAAAGAAAGAGAAGCGGTTGGTGACCTCCCCAGTACCTTGCTCGCTCTGGTCTAGAGCTGGGCCCTTCTCCTGAACATCCCAGACTGTCAGGGGTGCTGTGGTTTGGATGTGGTTTGTCCTCCTAGGATTTGTGCATTGAAGGCTTGGACCCTAGAGTGTCGATGCTAAAAGATAGAGGGACCTTTAAGAGGTAGAGCCTAATGAAAGGTTGTTACTAAGGCAGAGGAGCCTGTAATCCCAGTGACTTGGGAGGCTGAGGCAGAAGGATTACAAGTTCAAGGCCAGCCTGGGTAACTTGGTGAGACCTGCCTCAACATTTTAAAGGTGATGTAGCTGGTGATATAGAATGCCCTGGGTTCAGTCATTATGTGATCTTTCCCTCTTACATGTACTCCTGCCATTGCGATGCCACCCACCATGAGCCCTTTACCTGAGCTGAGCTGATGCCAGTGCCATGCCCTTGAACCTGGTTAGCTAAATAGACCTCTTTTCTTTGTAAAGTTATCCAGCCTCAGATATTTTGTTATAGTTATGGTAAATGAACTAACACAGGAGGTTAGATTAGGGATACTAAAGGAAAGAGAGGACAAGGAGAAAAACAGAGGATGAGCCATCACATTGAGTTCTGCTAGAACAATATGCTTTTCTGGGAGTACTTAGAAGGGGATCATTAAGTTAAAGGCCTGAAAAGTGAGAGGCACAAGAATGAGCTAAGTAGGTTTTAACCCTATTGCCCCATCTTACACCTACTGTAAGATTAAGAGACACTTGAGACCTTTAACAAGGGAACTTAAACTTGAAGGTCCTTGAAAGGAGGTCCCCTGAGGCTTTTGCCTTGCTTTGCTTTGCTTCTTCAACGGTGTTTCTTCCATTTTGCCTTCTTCTTACCTGAGGTCACCTCAAGCCTGTTTGGAAGGCGCTGGGCTTAGCTCTTCATATCTAAGTCCAGGCTATTCTACATTCCCGATGGGAGCAAGATGAGAGGAAACATTGCAGCATGAAGGACTGGGGTTAGCTCTAACCAAAACTTCTATTCTCCCCTTCTGCCCCTCATTCACAGTACAAGCAGGTGCAAAGAAGAGTCGAATCTTTGGACTCAGGTGTTTTAAAGTCCACCAAACAGTGAGAGAAGCACCAAGTGGTCAGGAGGGCCCGATTCTCCATTCCAGGGAAAAAAGAAAAGGGTAGCTCCTGCTTCCACAACGCGGGATGGTTCCCTTGGGGCTTATTGGAGGGTCCTCAAGTCTCCGCTGTCTCTCTGGAGTGGGCAAAATTCAGACCTGTTCAAAGGCCAGGGAGATGCCCTGGGGTCTCCTTTCCAGGTGCTGTTGATCAGCGTTTGGACACTGCTGATTGCCACCTCCAGAGTCATGCTGGGGACCAGCACTTTGCAGGGTAAACGGGGAGGCCCTATCCCCAAACTGTCTCCATTCATGTCACAAAAGCCAGCACCTGTTTGTCACTCTCTATGCTACCTGCTAGGGGAACCAGGGTGAAGAGAGAACCTCCTGACTCTCACCGCCACCCCGACAGGGTGGCACCACTGAGCTGTACTCCCAGGGCTGAAACAGGATCCCCGTGATCATGCTCTTAAAGCCAGCTGGGTGAATCTGTGAAAAATTCAGCAGTACAAACAGCAAATAAAAGCTCCTGCCATCAGAGTGTCACACCATTGGCTGCCTGAACAATCCTGAGAGTCAGAGAGGAAAAAACTACCCTCCCTAAACAGAAACTGCGGCCACTGAGTATACAAGTCCCGAGAGGATGTCACCGTTATGCAGTTTTCCCATGAAGTCCATGGAGTGATGGTCCCCTCCTATGCTTTATGAATCAGCCTTTCAACCATCAGTAAATTTCAAGATGGCTTTGTTCCTTCTCTGGTTTTTCCTCCCCTCACCAGGAAACAGTACAGTCTCATGGCTCGTGTAACTTTTTTGTTTTTTTGTTTTTGGTACTGGGGATTGAACCCAGGATGCTTAACCACTGAGCCACATCCCCAGCCCTTTTTGCTTTTTATTTAGAGATAGGGTCTCACTAAGTTGCTTAGGGATGAGGCTGGCCTTGAACTTTTGATCCTCCTGCCTCCGCCTCCCCAGCTGCTGGGATTATAGGTGTGCACCACTGGGCCTGGCTCTCATGTAACTCTTTCTTGGGGGGTACAACTGGGGATGGAACTCAGGGGCACTGGACAACTGAGCCACATTCCCAGCCATTTTTTTTTTTTTGTATTTTATCTAGATACAGGGTTTCACTGATTTGCTTAGCACCTCGCTGAGTTGCTGAGGCTGGCTTTGAACTTGCAATCCTCCTGCCTCAGCCTCCTCACCACCATGGCACCTGGCTCTCATGTAACTTCTTAATGGCCGTGAGCTTGTGGGGCAGAGGATGTGAAAAATAAGACCCTCTACTCCTCAAAGGTGTTGTGCCAGGCCAACCAAGGACCAGTACCCCAAATGACCAGCTTGCCATTGTGTGTCCTGAGGACTCACATAGGATCACGTTCCGGCAATGAGCAAGGACAGTGCTTCATGCATTGCCATTGCCTTGTGTCCCATGATTAGATACACAAGAGGAGGGGCCTCGCCTCCCTCATTCATCACCCTGCACATCTGCATCCCCGAACCTGGCCACTCCCTCCAAGGCTCTTCTCTTTTGCACCTGTAGCTGGCTTCTCCCTGCTCTCGGCCACTCATTTGCTACTGAATTCACGGACCCCTTCTCTCCATTCAGGCCCTTTTTAAATAACATGTTTTCAGAATTCTTCCTCAGTCCTCTTTATCTCTGGTCTTTCTTTCCATGGACAATTTTTTTTTTAAAATTTCAATATTTATTTTTCAGTTTTCGGCAGACACAACATCTTTGTTGGTATGTGGTGCTGAGGATGGAACCCGGGCCGCACGCATGCCAGGCGAGTGCGCTACCGCTTGAGCCACATCCCCAGCCCCACAATTTTTTTAAAAAAATATATATATTTTTAATTGTAGCTGGACACAATACCTTTCCCTTTATTTTTATGTGGTGCTGAGGGTTGAACTCACTGCCTTCCACATGCCAGGTGAGCCCTTGACCACTGAGCTACAAACCCAGCCCCTCCATGGACAATTTAATTGTTACCAATTTTTAATTATTATCAATTTTTACATATTGCCTCCCAAGAGCATCTGCCTCTTCGCCTTACTGAGCTTTTTAAACATCGAACTTTCCTTTTACCTTCCTAAGTGAACAGACTCGCTAACACACAGTTGTTAACATCTCTGGGACGAGAATCGGTTTTATATATAATCAATTGGAATTATATAAAGCTATGATGGATTCAAAGTCAAGACCTTGCTTGATTAGGCCAAACCAAGAGATAAAATTATTCCTGTAGGAAAACATGATCTACTCTACAGCATGGTCTTGAAAAATCCGCAAAAGGCAGACGGAGGATGGAAAGACTCAGCAGCTGATCCATTTCTAGCAGAGTTGAGCTTTGGCCTGGAGACCCAGATCTGCACTCTATACTGTGCTCTGGCCTTGACTCTGGGGCCCAATTCCAGCCCAGCCCCTTTTCCTTGTCCCACGGGCTGGTGCTTTGCTTCCTGAATGTGAAAGAGCACAGACTTCAAGGTCTAGGTATCTAGAAATGTCCTTCCAGAGCTAAAGGGAAGTCCACATGTTGACAGGAAAACTGGCAGAGGAGCAGAGACCAGGACAGGTGTCCGTCAAGGTCGCTTTTCAGCCTTGGAGGGAGGGGCCCTCTGGATCTTGGGCCTGCCACTTGTCCACCCTCCTCCTCCGCCTGGTTCCACGCCCCCCTTGCCATGCTCACCACCATGGCTATAGCGATAGCCTTGGTGCCCCTGGGGCCCAGCCCATGGTAGTTGAGGTTCATGTGGGGCTCCTCCATGTTCCGGATGAAGTAGGAGACAGGCACTACACCCACCAGTTTGCAGGCCTCCAGGTACAGCTCCTTTGGTCCAATTGTAAAGAACTTCTCGGTGTCTGCGGAGAAAGACAAGACTCAGTAGGGCTCGACTTCTCTACCCTCTGGCCTCGGGCAGGGTTTGCTTCCGACTGGGCTGTGCTCTGCCAGGGATCCACCCCTGTGGGTGTGCGCTCCAGAAGTCAACTCCAACCCTAAAGTCAGCCAGTGGTGGGAGAGGCAGACACGAATTCCAGGTTGCCCCCGATGGATGTCTCCCTCCGTGTAGGAGAAGGGGCCCGAGGTGTCAGCCCTGGGCTTTCCTGGGAGAGATGAGCGGCGTACCCCACCCCACCTTCCCAGGCTGGAGGCATCCCGAGACCAATCGCCAGGAATATATAAAGGCCCAGCCCTCCTGCCACCCTGGGACAACCCTGAAGGGGAAAAACAAAAGGCACAGGGCTGGGGACTTTTGATGGTTGAGGGGGGGGTCTCCATTTCAATTTTAGTTTCCCTGCCACCATTAAAACGTGAGCCATGAAGAAGGCTCAGAGAAGTAGACTCCTGTGTCACCTCGAGATGGCCAATCAGTTCAAGAGGGAGAGACCTCCCAGTTGGTGAGAAACAGAAAGACCTGCATCTGGGTGGCCTTACAGCCGGTCATCCCTTCTTCTCCAGTGACAAATCCAGGCCCTAAATGTCCAGCTGGTAAGTACCAAAAACCAAAAACAAAAACCTGCTAAGAGAAGCAGGGGTTCCACCTCTCCATTGCCATCCTTAGGCTTTAGGACCATTCCAGCCTGGCCTGGGGACCCCAGGGCTGGGTCCTCTTTAGGCAAGTCCAGTGGGCGGCAGGGCTTCCCAGGGCCAGCTGGCATCTACACTCGTGTGCTTTCTATTCGGATCCCAGGGCCTTTGGCCAACCCACACCACGAGCTTCTAAGGTCGACAGTGAGAGCTCAGAGGTGAAAGGGCGATTCAGAGGGAAGCTGTTTTTGCAAGCGCAGCTCCAGACCGACCCTCTCCTTAGAATGCTCACTGGGCGAGGTTTCTCGCCCTCCATGTCTCTGGTATTTTGACTCAGGTCCTGCCCTGTTGTGAGGGACTGTACTGCAGGATATCCAGTAGGATTCCTTGGGCTGTACCCACAAGGTGCCTCCACCCCAAGTGTCCCCTGAGGTGTGCAGTTACCCAGGGGAGAACCACTGTTACATGGGAAAGAGCCCACAGTCTGGCCAACCCTTCTTCTCTAGACTCCCCAGGAAGTCCTTCCGGGCCCCGTCCTCAGCACCTCAGTACCTGTAGCACGTGCCCTGGAGGCAGAGCAGCTCAGCCCTGAGTTTCTGCTCAGGACAGAGTTGTCAGTGCCAAATTCAGCCATTAGAAGTTCTTGCTGGCCAGAGGGAAGGTAACTTCCTGTTTTGTCCTTGGGACTAGCTCTGCCTTGACCCTGGATGCCGACCCTTTCTGGCTGTCATATTTTAAGAAGCATATTTGGAACAGCGCCATCACTTGCTGTGAGTGTGGGGAGCAGGGGGTGGGGCCGGGAAAGACGCAGAATCAGGGATCTTGGCAAAGCATCCAGGTTTGCAAGGAGCAAAATCCCATGTTGGAAGCAGTGTCAGTGAGAGCCCCGGGGTGGACAAGAAGACAGAGAGCAACGAGATGTTGGGGGCAGCAGAGAGGAGGTCTGGGTAGACGCTGTCTGCTGACTGACAGAGGTGGGGTTCTAAGCTGACTGTGCAAATAAGCAGCACAGTTTAATTTTAATGGCTGAGTAGCCTTCCCTCCACCTCTGCAGACTTTGACCACTGCCCACCAGGGTGAGTCTGGCTGGCCTCAGCCTGGGAAATCTGCAAAAGAGGGTGGAGGTGTTGTTTGTAGTAAAGGTCTTTGCTCCCACTCAGCCAGCCCTAAAACCCAGGTAGGCATGCACCTTGGGTTGATGACTTCAGCTCAGACTTGCTGAAGGTGCACATGGGGCCCTCGAGTAGGGCTAAAGGTGAGTACTAATGTCTCTCTTCTGCGACTAAAGGAACATCACATGAGATGCCACCGAGGGAAACATGTAAGACCAGAAACCCCTGTTTGTGTGTTGGTTCAGCTTTCAACAAGCTGATGTGTGCTCGTGTGGAAGCCACGGGGCTGTGGCAGCCGTTGTCCCCAGCCAGCCTGGAGGAGAACCGCATTTCCAGACATCCTCTGCAGGACCTCCCACTGGGCGGATGGGATTCCTCCAGGGGCCCAGGGGGCCTGGAACCCACCCCCCAATCCCATGTCACCTTCGATCTCCAAGTCTGTTTCCGAATCCTCCTTGGGGGGTTTCTCTTTCTCCACAGTCCCGATGGCTTCGGCCTCACAGTAGAGTGTGTCATCGCTGCCCTTGGGTGTTAACTCCGTGTCGTCCTCATCTGGAAGACAGAACCACCTGCTGGGTTCAGGGAAGGAAGCCTGCTGGCCTGTCAGTGTGCCTGCCACTGACTCTCCTTGTCTCTGTCACCTCCTCTGCCAGCCCTGCCAGGGTGACTGTCCCACAAGCCCTCCTTTCTAGACACAGCTCAGTCTCTGGGCTCGTGTCTTAGAGGCGGGCTCCAGTTCACTTTTCCCATCTCATTAGCTTGGGTGGGTTTTGGGGTCTGCTGTTCCTCTTTCGATTGAAAGGGTGTGTCTTGGAGTCCAGACTTCCCCACCTTCAGGTGCAAATGGTGTGGGGGTGGGGGGCGGGCGGGTGGGGGGGGGAGGAGCATGGTATGTGGTGATTTGGGACAAATACAAAGTAAAAGATCAAGGGGCAGTTTGGGGGAGCAAGAGAGAGCACTTGACTCAAGTTGTGGTCCCTCTTCTTCTCCTTCCAGCCCAACTTTGTACCTATGACCAGGAAAAAGGGGCTTGAAACTCTCCCTTGGGCTGAAATCCATCACTATGATTGAACACATGCACCTTGGGTTGATGAGATGCTGGGGGAAAGCTGAGCCTCCCTCACAGGCCCCCATAGCCTTGCTACGGTTTTCCACTGGGCCCCGATCTGGAGCCCACTGTAGGGATGGAGCTCAATCCTCCGGCATCTGCAGGACTCTGGGGTTTAGGAAGCTGTGCTGTCCCTCCACACTGCCCAGGAGAACTCGGCCAGTCTACTCTCCGGATGGCTGAACATGTGTGTCAGAGCGCCACCTTTTGACCACTCAGATTCTAGGACGCTGGGGATCCTAAGGATCCCACAGAGGCTTGTGTTTTTTTTAGTCCTGGCCCAAAGACTGGCCCCCAACCTGTGACAAGGCCTGTGAGAAACGGGGTGCAAGTATCAGTGACCTGGTGGTTGAGAGACACAGAGCAGCTGAGCTGCCCAACTGCAGCCCTGAGAAAAGAGATGCGTTTCTGAGTCTCACGACGCTCATCAGTCTAACAACTTTAGGATTCCAGTGGACCAGTGGGATGCCCGTAAATATTGAACAACAGGCTCTCCCAGAAAAAGAAATATCCCGATTTACAGTGTTAGCCAATTCATGGGGTGTCAATATTCCCAGCACAGCTGATTTCTAACGACTAAGGTGACGTCCACCAGCCCACAAAATGAAAATTAATTTGGCTTGTGCCAGCATGAGGCAGTCCCAGAACAGCATCTAACCATCTCACTCTTTGCCAAGCCCTGATCCCAAGTCAGTGTAGTGCATCCTGCCAATTCTGGGGGGAACCAGGCAGAGAGAGGGGAGAGGGCTCTGAGGTCCCTGTGATCACTGAGTGTCACCTTTTGAATTGGACTCGAGAGGCTCCTCATCATGGTCCATGCTGCTAAGACTCTCTTGAGGGCTGCTGCCAGCTTCTGGCCACCTCTCCGTTGCTTCACTAAGAAGTGCACCTGTCCATTCACCTCTGTGTCAAACTGGGCCTCCTGCCTTTGCATAGGCAAACCCTGTGGGGGGCGGGCTACAGTTACCCTTCCAACCCAGCAAGCATCGGGGAGAGCAGGGAGAGCAGGCTTTGGGAGGATGTGGACATGCATGGGTGTGATCCCATCTCTGTCTGGGAGAGGTAGCAACTCCCCCTGCTCATCAGCTTTGTTCCTGAGAGCCCTGTGGAAAGGATGCCCACCCGCCTGCAACTTTATGACTTAGGAGCCACCTTTCATTTCATCTTCAACATTCCATGACCTCATGCAGTAATTGTGATCCACGTAGGTGGACTTGGCAACAGCAGGATTCCCGCCTGCCTGGTGGCTCTAGGGGTCATCTTTTTCTCATATGTCCGCTGGGGCCAAGCCCAGGCTTGGCTGTGAGTGCTTGGGTGCTGTGGGGGGGCCTCTCAGTGGCGGTGTGTTTCCCTCTGAGTCAGGACCAAACTCAAGGCCCTTAATCAGGTGACCGTGAAGAGCTGCCACCATGTTCTTCTCTCAGGGTGACTGTGCTTCGGGTACGAAGTATTTCAGTGATGGGTGAAGTCAGTTTTCTCCCACTCGGTTCCTGTTCCTTTTTTCTTCCCCCCTTGGGAGAGCATCCTCGACCTTGGAGCAGAAGATCAAAAGCAAAGCACGAGAAACATATGTTCTATCACTACAGTTTGTTGCAGCCAAAGCACTGTTCAACCCCAACCCCTGGGCTGCCTAACTTGAGACCAGGCAACCACCAGCCCCGGGCTCAGCGGTTTTCACATGCCCTGGAGTTGAAGTTCACTTGCAGTTTGCTGTCAAGAGAATCTGGAGGCGCGTTTGTTCCTTCTTGATAAACTTTCGGCACATCAACTGTCAGGTCAGTGAGTGGAGGGCTTGGGGGATGTGAGAATCCCTTTGTGCCACTCAGAGGAACGATGACAATCTAGAAATGTGTATAGGAAAAACACAGAATCATGGATCAAAAGAAACACGTGCCCCCGAGGTGTGACTCCTTCCTTTGGACGTTCATGTTGAAAAACACTTGCTGAGCATCTTCTATGTTACAAGGCACTAAGATAAGCATCCTGGTGGGTGGGACGAGGTTGTGATCCAGATGGGGACCTTTTAAGAGAAGTGTGACATGAGGTAGTCAACAAGACCATCCCTAGGGGAGGATCCTGAACATATATTTCTGGAAGAATTCCTGTTCATATAAAGAATTTGAGTCACCCTATATCAGCACGAGAGTACCCCTGGTGTCCCAATCTCACACAGTTCCTTGAGAGTAATACCAAGAAGGCTGAGTGGGTGCTCAGCTCCTAGGATGATCTGGAGGATATAAGTCCTGGAGCTCCTCACCTCTGATTGGCCCCACAAGGGTGTAGAGGACAGGAAAGCAGAATTAATGAGCAGAAGGAAGGGACCAGGGAGTATGGGGGTCCTGGTCTGGGCGCCACTTGACAGCACCATCCAGTCTCAGGCATTGAAAGGTGAGTTAGGAAATCTGGAGGAAGGTACTTCAAACAGCCATGGCGCATAGGACCGCTGGCCTGGGTCTTAGCACAGCACTGGAAATTGAAATGTCTTATAAGGTGAGTGCCCTGGGAGCCCAGGGGAAGGGAGGAGTTTCCCTGCTGGGAAGCTTGCTCTGGATAAGCAGAGTCTGGGAATAGGGCATTTCTGGGAGTGCAGGATGCCAAGAGGAACAGGGAAAGGGAGACCATGAGAGGCAGAGTAATTTCAGGGACAGACTCAAATGCAACTGAATAGCAGAAGGAAGTTATTGGAGATTTTTTTTTAAAAACATTTTTTAGTTGTTGATGGACCCTTATTTTATTTATTTGTATGTGGTGCTGAGAATTGAACCCAGTGCCTCGCGCATGTTAGGCGAGCGCTCTACCGCTGAGCCACAACCCCAGCCAATAAAGTTTACATTTTGTGTTTCTACTTCTCTGAAGTTGATGGGAGCCAGGTGTGGTAGCTTATGCCTGTAATCCCAGGGACTCCGGAGGCTGAGGCAGGAGGAGCACAAGTTTGAGGCCAGCCTGGGCTACTTACTAAGACCCTGACTCAAAATAAAAAGGGTTGAGGATGTTGCTCAGTGGTAAAGCACTTTTGGGTTCAATCCCCAGTAAATAAATAAATAATAAATAAAAAAGTTCATATGTGGTTCACATTACTTTTATTTTGGACAGTACTGCCCCAGGCTTTGGTCTGTAGCATCTGAAATTCTGAAAGAATTCTGTAGCCTCCTGAGAATTGCACAGGTCCAACTGATAAGTTAATACAGGCAGCCACCTTGTTGAATTTTCCTAGCTACCTTTTGTCATAAGCACAATTTGAACCCTCAAGGGCTTACATTTCCTGTATGTAGAAAATTCCTCTTTAAAAGAACACTTTAAGTCCCTCAGAAGTACAATAAAAGCTCCCCCTTGTCCCATTAGGAAGGTTCTGCATCTCACAACCATGCTAATGATGAATGCAGATCACTCCTGGATGAACACAGAGGCTCATCCCTCTCTGGATTATTTTTTGACATGTTGAAGCTAGAGACAGTGCAGATCATATTTGTAACTTTCCTTTGACTGAGGAAGCCTGAGGCTGCACTTCCCTGGGCCAAGTCCTTGGAATCTTCAGTTACTAGTTTGCTTAGCAATGCCATATTGCAATTTGGAGGGCAGGAGCCTTATTTCAGCCAGGGATTGTAGAAGACCCTACGTTTACAGTGGCCAGTGCTGGTTTCTGTCCAAGTTCAAACAACATAACACTGAACACTGAGAGCTACCCTGGGTCAGCCATGAAAACGAAACTAAGGATTAAGAGGTTAGGTTATCTGAGAGGTCCCTGGGTAAAATGTGGCAGAACTAGGATCTGGGCTCTAATTCCGAAGCTTGTGATTCTCATGTCACCCTACACTTTCCAACATAATTGATTAGGGTCAGGAAACAAAAATAAAAGAAGCCTTTGAAGGAACAAGTCATCAGGCAGCTTGCTATGGTATACCTACTATGCATCAAGCTGCCCCCGCTGAGGCTAGCTACTTTAGCACAAGTTCCCAGACTGTACCATGGAATGACAGTGTTTTAAAGGGCTTCATCCCAGACATGTAAAAGCAGAACTCTAGGAGGAGGGCCTAGAAATCTGCATTTTAGAACATCTCCCATTTAGAACCATTAATTCACAAAATGATACACATAGTTTCCAGGTAAGTACTTTTGAGTTAAGATCTGATTTGGAACTTGGACTTCTTGGTAACTATTGGTACAAAAATGGAAGAAGGGTACAGAGGGTTTACTTAAGCCAGGAGAAAGGAAGTCATGACCTGGGGGTTCCTTAGGTAGAGCTCACATTTGTGTGTTGCTTTTATTTATTTATTTATTTGGGGGGTGGGGGAGGATTGAACCCAGGGGTGCTTTTACAGCTAAGCTACATCCTCAGTCCTTTTTATTTTGAGACAAGTTCTCGCTAAGTTGCTGAGGGTCTCACTCAATTGCTGAGACTGGTCTTAAACTTGCGATCCCCCTGCCTCAATCCCTGGAGTCACCACGATTACAGCCTTCAGATTGAGGCCTCTGGTTCATCTCAAAGGGTGCCAGCTGAAGGCAGGCATTGCTACAGCTGGAGCTAAGGGTATGCGTGGGGGAAGGCCAAGCTACTGACTCTCTCCTCCTTCCTTCTCTTAGCCCTTCAGTGTTATGATGTACCCAGCGGGTCCAGGATCTGGTGACTCGCCAGAGGGCTTCCCTGAACAACCGAGGCTCCAACCACAAATTGGAAATCGCACAGCTCAGACAATGGGTACCGAAAGTGGGTGTATCATATAGTCCTTTCTTCTTCCGGGCGTGGTTGGGGCAGAAGACTGAGGGTGGGGGATTGGGAAGAAACACCCAGGGCTCTGTGTAGCACAGAATCCATGGAAGAACTGGCCTTCATTTGGTGGTGTGGGGGGGTACACTTCGCTCCATCATCTGTCTTCACCAAGTGCCTGGAATGGTATTAGGCACTAGAGAGACACCTTGGGTAAGCAAGCACCAGTTACACTTGGTCTCTGGCCTGTGGATCCCTTTCTTTCCTTCCTCCCTCCCTTCTTCCACCCACCTTTATCAATGAGGACCCCCCTCCCCCTTTCTTCAAGATTAGGGACAAGAAGGTCCATTTGGAACAGGCAGGAAGGAGATAAAAATCTCTCGATTTTTATTTAGAAACCTCAACTGGGGAAGTCAGTAAAGGCAGGAAGGGGTGGAGGGAAAACGGGAAAAGCTGGCTCCCTCTCTTCTCTGGGCTGAGAGCCTGATTATAGAAATTGGGGTTATAGGAGCCTCAGAGAAAATCCAGCTCTCCGTATCACAGATGAGGGAACTGAAGGGCAGAAAGGGCATATGGTGGCCCCAAGGTAGACACCTAATTAGTGGCAGAAGTAGGAGTTAAAGTGTGGCCTCTGAAAGACAGTCCCAGCTAGGCACTCATTCCAACCCCCAGACCCGCAGGCGCGTCGCCACCGAGCCCGCTCCCCCTCGCCCCGCCCCTCCCCTGCCGGCGCACTGCGGCTGCGCTGCCAATAAAGTTGTTGATGCGGGCGGCGCACACGTGGGCCGGCTGGGGCGGGGCGTGGCGGCGCGGGGCGGGGCGAGCCGAGCTGAGGAAGACCAGGCGGGCGGCGGCAAGGAGGGCGGCGCGGGGGCCGGCCATGATCGCGTCGTGCTTGTGTTACCTGCTGCTGCCGGCCGCGCGCCTCTTCCGCGCCCTCTCAGGTACCGGCCCCACGTCTGACGGGCGGGAGCCTGGACCCGGCCTTTCTCTGCGGGACCCGGGGCGGCGTGAGGAGCGCCGGGCCTCCGGCCACGGTCCTCCGGCAGCGCCAAGGTGTGGGGAGGCGGTCCTTGACCCGCCCCCGGCCCGACCTGGCCCCACGAGGCTTGGCCTGGCCGGGCCGGCGACTCTCGTGGGCGGCCCTTCCAGCCTGAGGCTGGTGACGTCGGGCTACAGTTAACGTGGACGCGGGCTGGGGAAAGGGCCGCCCTCGCTGTCCGTGGGGTGGAGGTTCTGGGGCCGGCTCAGCCGCCGCCCCGGGGTCGGGAGGGTGGCAGCCCGGCCCAGGCGAGTGCCCGAATTCTCTGCCGGTAGAGGCGGGGCGGCCCGGGGCTCGGTGGGCTCGAATCCTGGAGGCACCTGTCTTCACCTACTCACTTCACCGCCGACGCTCAGCTCCCTGTGCTCGCTCAGCGGAGTCTGGTGGAAAAACGGACGCCCAGAAGCCAGAGACACATTTAAACCCCAGCTCTGGAGCATTCT